AACTTAATGGTTTTCAAAAAGTAATTTTAACCCCGAACGGGATAGCGACAACATACGTTCTGCCTTAGAGTTGCGACTAGCGTCAACAACCATCGTGAGACAAAGGTCTTTAAACCGTTATTTTCTTCTTAAAAGTGTTTGCAAAGAGTAGAAAGCACCGGTGACCTGTCGAATCCCCGATAACTAAGTCCTTGCATACCGATATCCCTTTACCGCTTTTTCTTTAAACCAATTATCTTTATTTCCTTTGCATTTAATTTCATTCGCATTCAACTTTCCTAATTCCATTAGCCTTAGCTTTACGCCGTAATAATAGATAACTGTAGATTGACATTGGTCTCTGTGGGTTCGACAATCTTTTATATTACTTCGATATTTTCGTGCACTTGCGGACGCATCATCGCACCAGAACTGACCCACTACTACTCAAATGCCAAAACCTAACCAAATGAAAATGACATGCAACACCAATACACAATCCCTAACTTCACAACTAAACAAAGTTTTAAAATTAACAAGGCACAAATTGTGCAATCAAAACACCAAGAACCAAGAACCAATAGATCAAAAGATTACATGATTTAAAATTAACAAGAATAACAATGAGAACAACATTTGCACACATAACAATAGTCATCAAGCACAGAGCAATATCATAATGTGATTCAAATCATCACTAACAAAATTCAAACAATTACATAAAATCCTAAAATGAACATAAAGATAAATTTCTAATAAGAGATTGATTTTTCTATATTAATCACATTAACAACTGCATAGAAATTGGAGTGTGAATCATTAAACCTAACAGCAACACAGGCAAAAGTAGGGGAAGAATCAGAAGGGAAACAAAGAGAAATTGATTTAGGGTTTTTGAACTGAAACCTATCACAAATGAGAAATAAAGATAAAATGATTTAGAGTTTAAAAAAATACTAACTTAGCAAGATTGGTTTGGGACTGGTGGTGTGAGATAGATAGTGATGCAGCGTCACTGGCGGTGTTAGGGTTTTTGCAGTGGTGTGGTGGTGACTGTTTCAAGCCTTCCAGTTATGAAAAGAAGAAGTTGAAAAGACGTGATTATGAAAGGAAGAAATTTTCCTTTCGTCTATTTCACTTTTGGTCGCGCGGTTCTTTTCACTTTTGAGGGACGACCGTTCTAGAACCGTCCTAGCCCTAATTTTACCCAAGGAGTACAATTTTTTTGAATTTATTTGGGTGCGACTGTTGTTCAACCGTCGTAGAATTATTTTTAGGGAGGTTAGGCCTACAACCATTGTAAAATGTTTAAAATTTTTAAAAAATTTAATGGCAGTTGTCAAAAACCATAGTGGCAACTGTCGTAACTTACGATGGAGGGCGGTTTCCAAGGAACCGTTGCAACCTATGTGTCGCAAATTAATTTTTTTCTTATAGTGATTCCCTCAGTGAATGTCCTTTTCCTATAAATATACCATTACACGTCAATATAAGTTTTCCTGATTCATATATAGATTTAATTCCCAATTTACCAAACAAATCCCCACTAACAAGATTCCTAGTCATGTTGGGGACATGAAACACATTAACAAGAGTGAATTTCTTTCTAGAAGTGAAGTCGAGTTCGAAGGATCTGGTCCAATAAATTTAGATCGTAATTCATTTCCCATTTGAACTTCATGTCCATCAATTGCCTTAAAATAGGTTTTGATAGCAACCTTGTCATAAGAGACATCTATTGTAGCACATGTGTCATACCACCATCCTTGCACTTTGCCTTTGATTGCCATTTATTCGCTCACCGTAGCGATTATGCCGTCATGTGTATAACATGCATTGATATCATTATTTGCCTTATTATGGCTACAGTTTCGAGCACAGTGTCCAGGTTTTCCACATACAAAGCAACCGCTTTTCGAACCGCCATAATTTTTGAATTTTTTATGTTCCTTTTTAGGTCCAAGGTGACTCTTCATGCCATCATGTTTATTTTTTTCGTTTTCCAGTCGTAGCATCAGAAAACTGAAAATGGAACCAAGACCATCATCTTCAACCTCTAACATTTTTGAAATTTCTCAAAATCGTATCTCTCTCATTTCTCATCCAAATGCAAAGATGTAAGAACCAATCTTGATTGAAATTTTATGAGCAATCTAATGGTATTATTTAATTGAACTAAAAATAAAAAAATATGAACAAATATATCATCCAAACCAACATGAACTCTAATTGTTCAAAAAGGCATAACTTCACATACACACATAATTCATTGAAATTAACTTATGGAACACCATCTACACATTAAATGCTACCTTTTTGCTTCATAAATCAAACACTAAGGATGCTTGTATGAGTGAGTTCAATTTTTAAAAAATCTTACCTATTAGAGCAAGGTCCAATGCCTCTTCAAGTGGTTACAAAAGTTGTGTGATGATTCAGAAAGCTCCTATGAACCTCTAAGATGCTTTTGCAAAGCTTGGATTGTATGGAAATAACCTCAATGTTTCTGCACGATTCTTCTTACAAGACTGGACAAATGCAAAATGGAACTCCAAGCAAATGGTGTTGCAGTTGCAAAATGTTGTTATGGACAGTTTGTGGGATGTTTATGGAGGGCGTTTGAATGCTTGGTTGAATTGGAGAAGGTCAAAATGATGATTTGATGTGTTTTATGTAAAAAGTCAAACTAATGAATGTTGAAGGTTGAATTTTTGATTTTGAATGTTTTTGATGAATGTGGTGGTTTGGACGCCTTTGTTAGGTGTTTTGTGGTGTGTGTGAATGGTTGGTTTGAAGTTTTTGTGGCTGTGGAGTGTTTTGGCCAAGATTGTGAAAATGAAGGTTTGAAAGTGGTAACAATGGGGTGATTCTGATGTAGGGGGTTTGGAATGCTTTCTAATGTGTTTTTTTGTTGTGTGTTTTGTGATGAGGAGATGTCCTCTGTTTATAGGGAAAATATTAAGGATCATAATTATGTCGAACCAAGTAGTGGAGATACCTTGGTTTGGTTGGAAATAAATGGTATTTCATGGATTTTGTAGTTCCAATGCCAAGTACCAACTTTCTAGAGTGGTTGATCATCTTTAGAGGCGTTGCTTCTAAGCTTTAGAAAGGTTTGTGTGTAGAAGAAACCAAGTACAGGCTCAATACAAGTTGACTTTGTGATTAAAGGTGCTTTATGTAAATGGAAGTGTAACCTTTCTTGCAAAACATTCCAAATGTGGCATTGCAACTTGGTTAATGTATCAATTCTTTGGTTTATGCACCAAAAACTTGTGCAAACTTCTGATTAGATGGAGATTTGAAAGTAATGTGGACTGAAAAACCATATTTCATAGCTTTGGCTAAGATTTCCAACAAGAATTTGTCATGAACATGAACAAAAATCCAAGTTTGAAAGGCCAGCTTCCCTTCTCCGAAACTCCTAGCTCAAGTATGATAAAAATGTGTTGTTTGACTTTTTGGAAAGATTGAAACATCCTCTACAACTTTATGTTTTGAGTTTTTCTTGAATCAAAAGGGATCATGGTGAAAAATAGCCTCAAATTTGTCTCAAAGACAAGACATATTTTGTTGAAATTTTTTCTAAGTGTTTTTGTTCAAGGGGCAAAGAATCCTCCACTTCATGGCTTCATATCGCTTAATCTATGCATTTTTTTGAAGATCAACTCATAGGAAAAAGTTGTATTATGTAGCAAGATCTTCATTTTGGTCTTTGAAGTAAAGAAAATGGTTGCTTAGATTGGAAGTTATGACCTTGGGAAGTTGGACAAAAATCATGAACTTCCATAACTTATAATTTTTTTCAATTTCTTCACTTTTGCCCTTTTTGCAAGTAATCTCTCATTTCTTAATTTCTTTTGATTGATCATGATCCAAATCACATATTATCATCATTCTTGACTTGAGGAACTCATGTTTGACCAAAAAGTCAAAAGTCAAATTTGGCTTGATTAGTGATTGACTTTTGTATCAAATGAAATCTAAAGTGCATTATTCAATGAAATCAAATCCTTGATCTATTTGAACACTATGGATGGACTTCAAAGGTATCTTTGAGTGTCTTGAATCATGTCCCAAGGCTTGAGATCATGTCTTGGTCAAAAGTCAAATGTGCAGTTGACTTTGGCTCAAAAGCCCTAGTTTGTGGACTAGATAAATGTGAAAGTTGATAAATTTGTAATGAGGCCACAAAACACTTGATTCTTGATGTAGGGAAGCTCTTGACCATGATAAATTGATGTATTGATGATCAATCCAAGACTTTGACTGACCAACCAATAATCTCCTTGATGCAAACCCTAATTCATCAATGAAACAATGCAAGATAAAATCTTGATAATTTGAAAGTTAGCTATGCTTGAATGACATACCTAAAATGTGTTGGATGCTATGTAAATGATTATGAAATCTATGGGTAAAATTTGGGGTATGATAATAGGCATTTTAGATAGAGATTGTGTCAATAGTAGCTATTGTATTTTGTGTTTTCAAGTGGATGAAGATAATCAACATTTATTGCTTGAGTGCTTGGTCACCAAAAGGATATGAGAGCTATTCGAAAATGGGTTAGTTGGAAGGAGAGATGTCAAGATAAATGTTTCTCAAGTTTCAATTTTCATAGTTAAGATTGGAAGAAATCGAACGGCAGAGATATTATTGGGCTGATTTAGTTATCTACAACTAAGAATGTTATCCTGATTAAGGGTGAAGTTTTCAATTTTGAGAATTGTCTTTTGTCAATTAAATTCATGTCTTGAATTTGGTCAGCTCTAGTTTTTAAAGTCATAAGAGGTGTAATTTTTTGGTTTGGTTTAACTCCCTTTTAAATTGTATTGGAAGATAATTTGTTGAATTCTCGCTTCTTGATGTAAGTAAGGGTTAGAGTATCCTTTATACCCTTTAGAAATATCCATTTATTGATTTGCAACACATAATTTAAGTCAAACACTTGAAGCAATCACAGAGAGAAACGAAAACAGAAAGCAAATATTACAAACATGACACTAAATAATTATAAATTAAGCCCTTGCCTTGGAAAGATGAGCATCAACATCTCTAGTGCATTGGCTAATGTAGTCCATCCATCCATTTGGAGGATGAATATCCTCGTTGATTTTCTCATATTCAACAGTCCATTTAGCAACAGCAGTGGCATCTTCAGCCTTATCAATTACTTGAAGGGTGAGCTTAAAGGTCTTATAGTGTTTATCAATATCTCCACCAAATAGCTTCCAGGTGTTTTTCTTGTTCTCTTCATCAACTTGTTCAAGACTATCGTAGCATGTGTGTACCTCACCATCTGTTTTCATGTCACGGGAAATTAATACCAACAAAAACAAGTATATTTTACATAAACCTTACATAATTAATTACCTATGACATAAGTCCAGTGTTTAACTGTATCAGTGTCATGCCAGTCTTCGCCTTCATGGAGTTTGGTCTGATGAACTCTTTCACAATGGACCTGCGCTTCGTGAAGTTCTTCCGCAAATAATTTATAGAACTTTTCAGCAGGTGTTTTGATACCAAGTTCAGTAATAAGCTTACCAAAGAGCACCATTTTTTAGGAATAAAAGAATTGATGTGAGAAACGTGTATGCAGCCCCATGCCTTAAATAGAAGAAATTGAATTGCATTATTGATTAAATAAAAAAGGAAGCAACAGATTAAAATATGCTATCCACAATAGAGACGTGTTCTCAAAGTCAACCTGTCATATCTTAAATGGTTTTGTTTCATTACACCATTTATTTATCACCTACTTTTGTATTTGATTAATTATAAATATTAAAGAAAGTGAAATTATTATTTATATTTTAATTTGGTTGATTTATTGATCTATAGGTTTGGTAATTATTTTATTTTATTTTTGCAAGTTTTACAATTATGACACTCTAAAACAAATTCAACTATTGTAATGATATTTTAATAATTATAGAAAATAGAAATTATTTCTAGGAAGATTGTTCTTTATGTAACTTTTAAATATTGATTGCAATAAACAAAAAAAAAAAGAGTCAAAAAATATGCTATTTATATGAAATTAATAAATCTTAAACATTAATTAAATTTAACGGATTGTTCTCATTTTTCACAATAAATGTAAATTCTTACCTGATATGCTGCCTATTATAAATCTTAGAGTTTAAGATTTAGAATTTAAAGGAATGCATGGAAAACAAAAAACATCAATAATTTTAATTTCAAAAGTTAAAAAAAGAAAATAATGAATGACAAAATTTTAGCAGGTTTGCAAAAATGGAAACTATAAATTTAGATTTTATGTGTTCTGGAGATTCTTCTCATCTTTTTGTTATTTGTGACATTTTGTTTTATTTTGTGAAAAATAATTTTAATAGCATAGAATTTAGGGGGAAGCTTACAAACCTCGCTCTAATACTTTTTATGTGATTAAATCTTATAAAACTTGTTCATCAAAATATATGGTTTTGTCATCGTCAAAAAAGGGAAGATTGTTAAAATAAGATTTCCTTCTGCATCTGGGCTTATGTTTTAATGATAACAATATATAGTATTTCAGAGAATAATTATGTACCATAATCAATTTGTTTAGTGCGCAGATGGTAGACGCAAGTTTTAACTTTGAATGAATGACATGTGATGTCATCAGATTCTGAAACTAGTGCACTTTGACTCTGAAATACATGGTTTACAAGATATTCAAGCTCTGGATTATGTACTTCAACGCTTTTGACTATACGATCATCCAAAGCTTTACAATTATGATGCTTCTGACGCTGATATGCTCTGAAGCCCTGCTCTCACACAACTCTAAACTATGTCACCAGACTCTGAAGACCAAGTTTTAAGGAACTTGATCAAGACTCTGAAGATCAAAGGTTCTAAAGTTTCTCTCAACCAGACTCTTATTCTTCTCTTATGCATGCTTCATCACCAACTTATCAGAAGCCTCTGAATATTCAAGATAACATCAAATATTCATCCCACTACTCTGATTTTGTTGAATAAGGGTTGCACTTTTGTACCATTTTGTCTTCATCCATTGCAAACTGTTATGCATGAAAACTCATTTGTGAAGGCTTCCATCCACACTTTTCAACGGTTCTTTCCTTTCTTATATAAGGAAGACTTGGAAGAATTGAAAAAATGCTTCTTTGGACGTTTATCCTATATCGCACAATGCTTTTGCTGAACTGAATATTATTTTTGTGAATATAGAATGAAAATACACATAGAGTTTTTGCTCATTTTTGTGTGATAAATTCATTGTATTGAAATTTGTGTAATCCACTTTCTTAGAAGCAATCTTGTAAACACATTTCTTGTATCTCATTCATTGAGTTTGTATTCCTTGAAAGACTAAGATTTAGTCAGGATTTTCAAGAAGACATTAACGGGTTGTCTTTGTGTGTCTGTAATCAGTTGATTATAGTGGATTAAGTTTTTGTTGATAAGGCGAAATCACCTTGTCGGATAGACTGGACTAGCTTCGTTAATAGTAAATCAAGATAAAAATATTTGTGTTCATTTAATTTTGTTCTTGTTTCATCTTTGAGTGTTTTGGGTACAAAACGTTTTGATCTTGAAAACCAAATTCAAACCCTCATTTCTTGTGTTTCTTGTCACCTTCAATTGACACCACAACTCCGGTTCTGGTATTGAATGCATATAAAAAACTTCACTGTGTCAGATAAAGATTCAGGTTGTGAAACACAATGGAAATAGTCCATCCACTAGCTGCACCCGCTGATAGAGACCAGTATATTGCAAAACCTCTAGTCTTTGATAGAGAAATATTTGATTACTGGAAAGATAGAATAGAATTTTTTTTCCTTGGTCATGATGTAGATCTATGAGATATGGTAGTTAATGGCTATGTTCATCCCTAAAGATGTTAGTGGTAACGGTTAGCCTTGAATTTCGATTCCCAGGTGGAAATGTTAGGTTTTGAGTTAAAGACAATGTTTTCGACTATGGTTAGGCTGCGAGGATTTCGACCAGAAGACAGACGATTCGACAGGCAAGAACCGTCGAAGTTTGAATTCGAATTCTGGAGGGAAATACAATTATTTTTTGCCAATAGAGAGAGGCACGTGGCACTGTTTCAAGTAATTAAAGCATGTAGAGTGACATTTGTTTTAATCTAGTCCATTGAGTCATTAGGAGCAGTTATTTCGACTGGTTATAAATAGTGGCTCATTTTAGGATTTTTGGTGTGTTCATTTTGTACAAGTCACTCAGAAAATTACTCAAAGTATCTAAGTCAAAGTGAGAAAAGAGTTATAACTGAAATGTACGTGTCGAAACACCATCTTTTATTGTAATGCATTAAAGTTCTTCTTTCCTTTCATAAGAATCTTCCTTTACTTTACTGCTTTTATGCAAGTTATATTATTTGGTCTTTACCTTTTACTTTGAGTTGCTATCTTTTTCGCCCCAAATTGCTTTCATTTTCTACTCACTTTACTGCCAAAACCTTTTAATTGTTTTCAATATTGTCGAAGTATCTACCCCTCTCTTTTAGGTTTCATTTGATTTTAACCTCAAATTAGCTATGTCCTAGGATTTAGTGTGGTCGATCCTACAAGTTAAAACGAGTCTTTAAGATTTGTTAGACCAGTGGTTGTTCTCCAATTTTCACGGCGAACAAATTGACACGCCTAGTGGGGCAGTGCTAATAAGAGTTTCTTGTTAAAAAAATATTTATTTTAGAAATCTTTGTGTAAAGTTTTCATTGTATGCAGTTAAGAAGTGGTAAGATAACCACTAATAACGAAACTCGAACTAAGAAAGGATATAACAGGAGAATGGCGTCGAATACAAATAAGCCAAAGATTCCTCAGGATCCATACAATGGTAACGATAACACGGAGCCTTCTGTGCCATCTTCGACGGAAGGGCAAGCAGGTTCTTTTCCTGTTTCTAAAGCGATTCCGACTATGGGGACTTCGATGCCTACACATTCGATTACTCATACACAACCAATTTTAACTTACATTAGGCCAAGGGGCCTTCCATATACCCCACCTCCAGTAGGAACTTCCACGTATAGGAATATTCCCCTACCAGGGTTTTCGATGCCTTTGCCGCGAGACCTACCATATGATATGCCAACATCAGTAATGACTAGCCTCCATAACGCCCCTCCTGTACACACAGAGCAGGTGATAACTTCACCATTACAAGGGTCGGCATATGGAATGAATGTGGGTCGAAACAACCAAAACGTAGGATACTCTGTCCCAACACAGAACCTAACAATTGGTTTTGCCTCTTATTTGAGGCAACAGATGGATGAAAGTAATCACCAGATGGTATAAATGATGTCCCAAACTATGGGAGAAATATTTCATCCCCTTATCCAAAACACTACCCAAACTAACCAACAACTGGCAGCACAAATGACGCGTTTAGTTGATTTCTTTGGGGTACCAAATCTTCCTCGACACCCACAAAGAGAACATGGGAGAGAAAACCAGGGATTAACCTTTGAAGAAAACCTCACTATTAACCAAGCCCAACAACACCCACGGAACGTGCCCCAGGAAAATAATGTCAATCATGGGATAGTCGAACCTCTTAGAAATCAGTTCCAAGTTCCCAGAGAGGAACCTCCAAGGGTAGTGATGGTTAACAGAAACCAAAATCCGGATAGTGTCATACAACAAGTCCGGCGTAATAATGCAGCCGCAAATAACAACTTGGCTGCCATGGTTGAAAGGATTATGGCACAAAATGGAGTAAATCTTGGCTTGCGAAGGCCAAACTATACGTCGCCTTTGGTTGAATATATACTTCAGTCGGAGTTACCTCCGAGGACTAAGGTCCCTAAATTCACTAAGTTCTCAGAAGACTCTACTGAGTCTACTGTCGAACACGTGGCTAGATATCTGATTTAGGCAGGGGAAATTGCTAATGATGAGAGTCTTAGGCTAAAATATTTCCCCAGTTCTTTGACTAAAAACGCTTTCACTTGGTTCACCACATTACCTCCCAACTCGATCCATAACTGGACCCAGTTAGAGCTGTCGCACCCTAATTTTTGACCTTAAGATCCCACCTCCTTGCGCATTCTGTTACGTGTTATCTTCGTGTTTTTTATGTATGTTTATTATAATTAACCAGTTGGTGCAGGTGCGAGAATGGTACGTGTAGACCCTTACAATCAAGAACTTCAGGGCGCAAGCGTTTGAGGCCTATTATGGTTCCCATGGGGGGCTACATCGCAGGTTATGTCTTTATGTCAAGGAGAAATTGGGAACGTTCTTAACGGTGGTTTATGATTAATTTGTTTTGAGGTATTAAGGTTGCATGAGATCTTGAACTGAGTCTTGGCAAGGAACACTTTTAAGGAATTCACGAATCTTGATCTTCATAAAAAAATCTAAGTGCTCAAGCTTCCAGCTATGTTAAACTCATCCAAATTACCATTCGTTCACGAGTTTATTTGCAAAGAGTCTGTTTCATTATGAGCGAGATCGGTTCACATCAAGAGCTTCATCATGTTGAAAGGGTAGATACTTGTGATTAAAAGTTAAGTTATTGAGGAGCTTATGTTGAAGTGGCCTTTCCCATGAT